TCTATTGATGGTAAAAGCTCAGTAATGTAAATGTTGTACTACATGTTGGTGTTTGTTTCTTTCTGTCTTAACTGATTGTATACTTAAATTATTCGACCTGTTGTAGATAAAAGCAGACACACTGTACACAAATTAAACCAGAAAGGGATACCTGGGAGATCTTCATGGAAGTCAGTAGGACAATTGTTTCGGTAAGTTTGTTGGCTGTAATTCTGTGACTTTGTTCCTTTCCATGTAATTGCTTAGTTTTATTTATTTTGCTAGTGACACATTTGCTTTGCTGCTTTGCATATGCTATTATTTATATCACATTAAAATTCCTTTTATTCCCTTGAGTTTGCTTCATTGCCCATTTCTTTCCGAGTTAATGCATTTCATGCATGATATTTCATGCATGATGCACAGTGACAGATCTGTAGGTTGTTGGTTATCGCAGATGCTTAATGATATAAAGTCTATTTTTCTAGGATTAAGACCGACATCTGGATCTCTGTTTGATGAAAAAAAAAAAAGAATTTTTAGCTTTAAGCCAATCATGATGTAGACTCTGAGTGCATCAGTTTCAGTTTATCAAAAAAATTCCTCTGTATTTCCTTTTGTGATAGCTGCGATATTGGTATTTTTTATTCTTTTTTGATTTTGGTTATCTAAATTGAGCATTTGTTATGTAATGCCCAATGCATAAAAAGGTTCAAGGCCCACGAAGGTGTTTCAGAGTTCCTTGCCCCTAAGGCGTGCCTTAGTGCGCTTCATTGAAGTGAGGCGCATATGTTAGGCAATAAAAAATCTGAAAAAAAAATCTTTGTGCGCCTAAGGGGTACACCTTAAGCTGCGCCTTGGTGTGGCCTTGATGCGACTAGGCACGCCTCTGAGCGCCTTAGCTGCGCCTCATCGAAATCATCTCGCCTAGACCACAAAAAGCCCATGACCCCTAACTCCTAGCGCCTCAGCGCAAGGCGCACCTTTTCAAAGTTCAAACACTGTTAATGCCTATAACAGCATAACCACATCATAGTTTGTTATATGCCTTCAACGTTGACATTTTGTTATCTTAGTTTTTTGAATTCAAGGGAATGCATTATGCCAGTATTAATTCTATTTGAGCATCTCTTCCATGGCAATTTGAGTGCTTATTTTTATGTCCAATTTTTTCCTCTGTTTTCAGTAAGAAACTTTGTGGTTTGATATTATTTTCAACAGATAAGAAATCTTGTAAAGAAAAGAAAAAAAAACCATATAATATCAGTAGGTTGTCCTTTTTTTTTTTTTCTTTTAATTATTGTTATTATTAGAAATTGTGTGGTTTCAAATTTTGTCATTGTAATTGTGTAGAAACAAGGGTAGGGAAACTCATGCTGCAAGAACCTGCAACCAAAAACGCTAAACTATGTAATATTCTGGATACTGGTGTAGTTTTAATGTGTATCTATAAACGAGAAATAATTTAACAATGTAAATTTGTTGACATACTCCATTAGTCCTAGAATAATCTTAGCAGCTACTTCCTCTGATTTTTTCATTTGCAATATAGCCTTTAAGCACGCTTTTTTAGAAGTTGATTAGAGTAGGTAAATGAGCGAGTTTATCGAAATAATTTTAATGCCAGAATAAAGAAAGGTGAGTATTATGTATAGAAATTTTTTAGATTAATTTGTCTGTTTACATTACCTTATCTCTTTCTTAAAGTGCATACCATGAAGGTGTTTTGCAAATAAAAAAAAAAGGAGGAAGTATAAAAGAGATCTGGCTTGTGGGCCATTAGTTGGGTTATTTTAGTGTCTAAGTAGATGTGATACGAGTTACTCCCTTTATTCCCTTTTGTTTGCTCCATTGGGGTTTGTTGGCTGGAATCGATACGAGAGAAATTGCTGGGCCAGATGTGCTGAATGTTTCAGTAAATTGCTGATCCCTTGTGGTCCCTTTTAGTGTGAGCAATACTCCTGGGGATGTCCACACAAAGAAAATGGGGGAAAACAAAAGGAAATTGAGGTAGTAGAGTATTGCTATTGCAATGGGAAAATAAATATGAAAGGATATATTGGTTTCAAATTGGAGAGGTAAGAAATACTTTTCTTCTTTCCTGAGTACTTGAACACTTTCCATTATCACCCATCCTAACATAGTTTGAACTCTTTCTATTCTCACTCATGTACAGTTTGAACACCTTTTTTTTTTTTTTTTTTTTTTTTTTGGTGATAAGGTTCTACTCCCTTTGTTCCCGAATAATTGGGACACTTGAATTTTTCTATCAACTTTGACCATCTATTATTACTATTATATAAGATAAAATTTTAATAAAAACTTGATATTCCAATAATATACATTTAGAAAGATCCAAATTATCAACATCTTATATATAATAGCAAAAAAAAGATGGTCAAAGTTGAAAAAAGAAGTAAGTGTCCCAATTATTCTGGGACGGAGGGAGTAACAATTATCTATTATGAAGTATATCTTACCTTTCCTTTGGCCCACTATTTCCTTTTTCACTCCTACTTTTCATTAAATTACTCTTAACACTTATTACATTTACCATTTCATTAAATTACAATTGATAACCCTACCACATCTAAAACTTAGTTCAATGAGAAGTGTTCAAACTAATATGTGACAGAGAAAGTAATAATAACAATAACAACAATAAATTAGTGGGTCTTTTTTATTTATAATTAGCGAGTCCATTTTTTTTTTTTATAAAAAAAAAACTGTATTATTTATTTTGGTACAAATAGAAATAAATGGAAATGGCAAGTGTTGCTATCATACTGTGAAAAAAGAGGATATACTAAAGAGATTGTTTACTGCAGTTGATTGTGTTACTTGTCCTGAAGAGGGAAGATATAGTTTCTTAATTTCGACTTTCTCCTTTCTTTTTGTCCTCCATTCTGTTGCCTTCTTCTTCTTCTTCTTCTTCTTCTTTTTCTTCACTTATTCTGTTGTTTACTACAAAGGTAATTATATGCTTTGTCCTCCATTCTGCATACTGTTCTCTTAATTTCGACTATCTTTTATACTTGTCCTCTATACTATTGTATTCTTCGTTCTCCATTCATAATTGGGTAAGGCTAAACTTTTGCTGCCTCTATTTTCTGATTGGTAGCTTAACTTGTTCAGCTGTGTGTCTAAGCACATTAATTATGTAAAGTTGCTAAGGCTGTTGATTGTTTTCTTTCTCTTGATGGTTATTTACAGAAGAGAAAGGCAGTCACGAACTGGTTTTGCATCTACAACTTCGGGAATGACATCCACATTATGCAACCGCGGCAAACTGAATCCTCCAATAACATTTTCGTGCTTTGCCGTATTTTTGTTTTCCAGTATCTTCACTGTAGCAACTAGATCTATTTATAGGAAATTCATCCAAACAAATTCAATTACTCATTTCACAGCAGCTAATCCTGTTAAAAAGAAGCATTGAATGTACAAATGTTTTGCTTTGCTACATGTTGATCTTTATGGGAGGAGAGCCAGAAGTCCCTTTATATTACTAGTGTTGATACTCGGAAAGGTGGATAATATAGTCGATATTGTTATTCACTTTTGAACGTAGAGGTTATAATTGTTTGTCTTTGATAAATTTGGACATAATATTGGTGTCATTAACCTTATTTTTTTTTCTTTTGTTGCCCTTTCAGTTATCCTTCTATCTCATCCTTATTTAAGACCATTAATCACACGACATTTTAATTGAATGTGCAATTCAATTGATTGAACAAACATTCATTCATTACGAATGTATAAATATTCAAATTTGGTTTCATTATCATCTCAATAGTGTAAAACTGTAAAGGATGAGCAGTAATTTTGGAAACAATTTTATCATACAAAGGAATCTGCCCTAGGAAGCACCATATATTCAATCTGCTATGAGTTATTACGTAGTATTTGTAATACAATCCTGATCATCTCTAGAAAGCACTGTACACCGACATTATATGACGAATCAGCAGTATAAGAATAACCACCAAAGTATTATAATGGTATTATAGGCTTCAACCCGATATAACAGAAGGGTTGAAAAAAAAAAAAGAGACATTCAAGGTTTGCAGCGAGAATGATGTATTGAATTGTAGCTGTAATAAGCCTTTAAACAAAGCTGTTGATTCGGTATGTGAGCTGTGGCATTGCAGCAATCTGAATCTTCTTAAGCTGCCAGAAGTCAGGAAAAGATGAAGGTTGCAGAACTTATTGTAATTGGAAAACTGAGCTTAAATGGAAGGTATAAGTGAATACCTGAAGAAAGGATTACGAGGCCTAAGTACATGGATATACATAGGAACATAAACGATATTATTCCCCTGCAATTGCAGATAGACATAGTTAACGAATCAATTTGCACTGCAGACTAACTCTGTAAAGATTACTAATTAAGAAACCGAGAACCTTAGCAAATAATACCCCATCCCACACCATTGCAGAAGCAAGGACATTCTTCAGCAAACTTCTCTGCATCACTAGTGTGTTCTCTTCGGGAGATTAAACCACCTTATATATCTGTAGTTTATAGATCCATCAGACGCTGCACATCAATTGGAATGGATCAAACCAATTGATCTGCACTAGCATTAGGAGTATAGTAAGAATTTGTCGCTTGGACCTACCGTAAACAGAGAAGAGCATGTTAGCTCTTGTACTCATGAGCATGTCGCTTGAAAATTTTCCTCTTCATTACATCATGTTAGCTCTTGTACTCATGAGTCTGGAAGTACTATTTCTTCATTTTTCAACGTAGAGGTTGTAATTAATCATATCTTTTATAAAATTGGACGTAATCTTGGTGTCATTTCCTATTTTTTCTTTTGTTGCCCTTCCAGTTATCCTTCTATTTCTTCCTGATATAAGAGCATTAATCACGCGGCATTTTAACTGAATGTGCAATTCAATTGATTGAACAAACATTCATTCATTACGGATGTATAAAATATTAATATTTGGTTTTATTATCACCTCAATAATGTAAAACTGTAAAGGATGAGCAGTAATTTTAGAAACAAATATTATCAAAGGAATCTGCTCTAGGAAGCACCATATATTCAATCTGCTATGAGTCTGAAACTGAGCATATACATCGTATTTAATTTGAGTTCAAAATATTATTACTTAGTACTTGTAATACAATTCTGATCTTCTCTAGAAAGCACCGTATACCGATATTATATGACGAATCAGCTGTAAAAGAATAACCACCAAAGTATTATAATGGTATTATAGGCTTCAACCCAATCAAAACAGAAGGGTTGAAAAAAAATGAGACATTCGAGGTGTGCAGCGGGAATGATGTATTGAATTGTAGCTGTAATAAGCCTTTAAACAAAGCTGTTGATTCGGTATGTGAGCTGTGGCATTGCAGCAATCTGATTCTCCTTAAGCTGCCAGAAGTCAGGAAAAGATCAAGGTTGCAGAACTTAATCTAATTGGAAAACTGAGCTCAAATGGAAGGTATAGTAGAATACCAGAAGAGAGGATTACGAGGCCTAAGTACATGGATATACATAGAAACATAAACGATATAATTCCCCTGCAATTGCAGATAGACTTAGTTAATGAATCAATTTGCACTGTAGACTAACTCTGTAAAGATTACTTATGAAGAATCGGAGAACTTTACCAAATAATACCCCATCCCACACCATTGCAGAAGCAAGGACATTCTTCAGCAAACTTCTCTGCATCACTAGTGTGTTCCCTTCGGGAGATTAAATCACCGTATATATCTGTAGTTTATAGATCCATCAGACGCTGTACATCAATTGGAATGGATCAAACCAATTGATCTGCACTAGCATTAGGAGTATAGTAAGAATTTGTTGCTTGGACCTACCGTAAACAGAGAACAGGCTGTTCATTATACCTGCAAAATTGAAGGACACTTAAATGAGAAACTAAGGTTAATAGGACTATTTCATCCAGCAATGAATGAAAAACCTGGAAAAATATTCAACTTAGAATGAAAACGATACCAATGAACATAATCATATAACGGAGGATGTGTATTTTTGTTGTTTCTTGCAGGACCCAGATTACAGCAAGAACAATAATAAACCCTGCAAGATCAAGAACACTGTTATTAGGCATTTCTACCTGTAACTCTGTACATACGTTCTTTCGATGAGTTTACTGTCATAAATGAAGATTACTTAAATGTTGAGCATACCAACACATAGTCCACGTAGTGTCCACTGTAGAAGAAGAAATAATTAGTATCCATACAAATAATAGTTAACAGCTTAACACTGTACAAAAGTCTATAATAAGGTCATGTCATTGTTCAGTATTTATCAAGTCTTTCAAGTTAGGATTTGCCTTTTCCTAGCTCAAAAGAAAGCAATAAGCTTATGAAGGAAATCTGGCACATATTATGCAGAACCATCCATCACAAATTAACAATGAAATCACTCTCATTTCGTTCACTTTCATGGTTCCATCAGACACTGCAGCACAATAACTTTTAGAGGCGGCATTTAAAACAAGAATCTACCATATCTAGAAACTCAATACTAATCTAGCTGAATGATGCTTACATTTTTGGCAACAAAAAGAACAATAAATAGAGCAAGGGCTAAACATCCTGCAGCAATTCTGGCAGTCAAAAGATTTTTCGATGCAAGTATTAAAGCCATTCCCCAGAATGATGAGCCAAGATCTGAAAACAACAAATGTCGTTCAACTCACTAGCAGAGCATCATGTGATAACAGTAAAGCTACCCTAATTCCATTCAAGGATCCCATATAAATTTAATAGTAAAAGAAGATCATGATTTTGAATGGTTATAATGTAAAAGTTTTCAGATCATAGTAGTTATTACATCCAGCAGGCAAGATAAACCAATAAACACCACCACGTGTTGTCGTCATACCACCTTCATTCGCATGTACTTGCATCTCCTCAACCTAGCAGAGAATCAATAATAGAATTAAACAAATACTTACTTGCTGCAGAAAAGTTAACTGCATACTTGATTACCTCTCATTCAAATATTAGTCATTAACACAGAAGCTTATACTTGAGCTGATTTATGTTATTTTACAGTGACTAAAGAATTGTGACAAACTATGAGTGATGCACTTACATGGCCACAAGTGAGTTTACAAGCAATGGCATGGCTTGCTTCATGAAGAAAGACTGTCACGAGCTTGAAAGGCATCAGTAGCACCGTTCTCCATAGCTGCAGTAGTTACAAACAAGAGGTACTCACTATCACCAACTATAACAACCTTGACGAATAAGTACATAAAAACTTCCAATGCTTATAACATAATAAGTGCATTCACAAACTGATATAAGCTGAATTCGTTATGGATGAGCTTTTAACCTTAAATTACCTAAACCTCAACGGAACTGCAAACCTTAATGTTTGAAATCAAGACAGTAACCACAAATTGCCATACCTTTTGTTCATATAACTCTTATTACAATCAACTTCACTACATCCTCATTTATCAATGAAAGTAATGGTAACAAAGTAATATGTCCTTTAACTAATACCTTAAAACCCTCCCTTGCTCCACATTACATCTTACGGAGTAATTCTCAAGTGTTTTACAGTTTCGATCAGAATTGTTTCATATATAAATCCTGCTAATCACACCTATATTCAAAGAAAGTGGAAATTTATGAAAGAAAATAATGAAGAACGAATGGTAATAGATATCATGTTTTGAAAAGGAAGTATGAAAGTTGATTAATTAACCAAATCAGTCAAATGGAGGTATTTCTATTAGTCATTCTCTAATTTCATTCACCGAAACCAAAAATGAGGTATTACCTAAAGCATTTAAACTAGGCCATATCAGTTATTCAGCTAAATAAGTTACACTACCTAGCAAAAGAGGTGATTTTAATGAACAATAATGTAAATAAAATTAATAAGAACTAGGCCACATCAGTTATTTAGTTCAATAAGTTACACTCTGATTTCATTCATCGTATATGTAACAAGTACCAGTATATAATTATTACAGGTCTACTAGAACTTTTAAAAGTTAATAAGAATAATAATGTAAATAAAATTTAATGCCAAATTTAAATACTTCGTAATGTTTTTTACCCTAAAGAACTACGGAATACTCTGTGAGGACCATAACCAATTACCACATGACTATATATTTATTAATTTAACTAACCGACACCCCGCCACCCCCACCACCTACAAATTAGAAATGAAAATAAAAAATTCAAAAGGAAAACGTCTAATGAAAAAAAAGATGCTCTCTTTCATTCTTTTGACACTTGAAATTCAAAATTTATACGTCAAGATTCAACCACCATTGTAAAAATACTCTATCATAATAACATTGATGACAGTGATAGTGTACTGAACACTGGTTCATACTAAATTTTGTTTGACTATATTCACAATTTTATTATCAATCAAACTCAACTTAATAAAAGAAAAAACAAGTAGCAAATCAAAGCTAATTTATTCATACCCATCAATCAATCAACATAAGTTAGAATCATTAATAAAATAAATGGTGTATTTATTAGATTAAAATTGAAGTTTTAAAGATGGAAAAAAAAAATGAAAGATTAACTTACAGCAAGAATGACAACAGTACAGACAGCTGTGGTAGTCAAGAAAACAACTTGTTCATGATTGCAACATTTCTTCAACTCCCAATTTGCCATTTTTTTTTTTTGGGTAATATTTTCTCTCTCCTAAAATTAGCAATATTTCTACTCCAACTTTTATCTGATGGTTGAATTGAAATTATTAATGGAATCTCGAGATGGAGAAGAAGGCTTAAGGTGGGAGTTATCAAATGTATGAATTGATTATTATGGAATTTCGTGACGACATTAGAGTACTACGAGTAATATATAGTATAAGTATTAAATAATTATTGGAGAAGTTTGGATTTTTTTTAACCGAATTTGTTTGCTGATGGGCTGCTCTTCTTCAGTTTGCGTCTCTTTCTCTCTCCATTCGTTAGCGGGAGATGAGGAAAACTGAAATGAGGGGAAAAGGGTGTATCAAAAGGTTTAATGCTAATACTTGTATTTAAAACATTAACAAAATGTTTAGATAACAATAGTGAAGGGAAAGGGAGGGAAAGGAAGAAGGAGGAAGGCAAAGGGAGGGGAGGGGAGGGGAGGGAAGGGAGACCTTTTATTTTCCTTTCAAATCTCTCCAACAATGAAGGGATTTGATTTATTAAAAGTGGAAGGAAAATGGATCCTTTCAATTTCCTCCCCTTTCCTCGTTGCATTAGATATCCAAACAAGAGAAGATGCATCCTTCTATTTTTCTGCTCTTAATTTCCCTTCATTTCTCTATATTCAAACATAACACATGCGTAATAAGGTTATGTTCTATTTACCCTATTAAAATTATACACGTTAAGTACTAGTATTATTAATCAACTCTTGTAAATAGGGTTATTATTTAATACTCCACTTGTAAATAATAGCTATTTAAAACACAACACTTGTAAATATAGTTATTTAAGACACAACTCTTGTAATATCCTAGAAATTCCTTTCTTTTAAAATACCTATTTTGCCCTTTTAAAATACAAAAAAGAAATATTTAAGACATTACCGTCACCGCGAAAACGGCTAAGACAAATATCAAAGACACACAAACCATTAAAAACAAGTCAACTTAAAAAGTCAAACCAAAAGAATGTAAAGTCAAACAAAATCAAACAAAGTCAACCTACAACTTTGAACCATTGTAGGCCCTTAAAACCAAACAATACTGAAAAACTTTACCTTAGTCTCATGAGTATAATAAAATAAATAATATTCAAAGCAACTAAAACACATCATATTCCTATGGAAACTATGCATGATTCGCTCTTCACTCATGCCCATCATGAAAATGTTTCATCACCTGAAAAGATTCTCTTTACTTATCACCATTACTCGCCATTAAAAATGGGTCGTCTTAGGGCCAAGATAAAGACAAGGCCAAACAAACACACAACATACAATCATCAATGTTAAGTACATAAGCGTAATAAAAACACACTAACATGCTTTCATTCTATCATCACACAACTTACCTTGTTGCACCTGTCTACAAGCATACAACATACTAAACGACCAACCAATAAATAAATGAATTACTTATTTAATTTGATTACGCATCGAACGGGTTTCCCACCAAATCCCTGCCTCAAATAAATTGAGGTAAACTACACCGGGAGCTAACCGGGTAGGCAAATGTCACATGAAATGACTGGACGTCCTGCGTATAAAATAAATAAAAGGAAAATACAGCATTCTGTTCTTCCAGTAGAAGCTATGGTTAAATACAAAACCCCATAACTCCCCTCATATGTTCATACTCAAGGTATATACGTTCTAAGAGTTTTGGTGCGTAATCTCTTTCACTTTCCGTTGTTTACATATTATTATACTTGGTGATGACTCTCAAACCATAACACAATCAAACATTATACTTCATTCAAGCAATCCAACATACCAATTTAATTCTGGAATAATTAGTGACCACATAAATTTAATTGCTGAACCCTTTATTCTACCTCAGTGTCAAAGACACCTTAAACGCATAATGCGCCGCAAATCCTATCCCTCGGTGTTAGAAACACTTTAAGTGCACATAGGCACCGCAATATAATTTATTCCTGCGTACGAAGACACTTAAATAGCTCATTCCTCATGTTTATAGCATCAATAATAATTATATGAACCATAATAAAATTCCTTTTTCACATTCCAAACCAAATTAAACATTTAGTTTAATTAAACATGCCCTCTATCATGCCAAAAATAAAAGTGTGGTTCGTATTCAACATAGCAACATAATTAATTCCAATCACCAATTCATCACAAATAATTCATACATCACAAATCATTTACCAACATCAATCCAATCAACATATTCCAACCAACACCTATCATGATACTACTTGGAATTAATTAAACAAAGCCTAGCATGCTTCTACATATTTAAATAATTACCAAGTACGCGAACGTACCTTGAATATGATCTCAAAATCGCCAAACTAAATAAAATCACTCACTTGGAAGTATCCTACAAACCAAAATTACAAAAAGCCATTAATACTTATTTCCGACAAATTTTCAACAATATATACCCTCTTTAAATCACTCATAAACCCTCTAAAACAAGCTGAAATTTAATTTAAAACTCTTACTTTTATTCCCAATTAATGGGTAATTAAAAAACCTTTCAAGAAACATAATAATAGCTTGTATATAAAAATTCAAGCTTTATTAAATCATCTAAAATTGTTAAAATTGTGTTTTAAAACACTTATTTCAATAATTTAAATCACCTACAATCAAATTCCATCAATATACATTAATTTAAAAACCTAGGGTTTTCAATTTGGTGCTTTTTAATTCAAAACCAAATTTGAAAATTTACATACAAAATACTTATCATCAAATATCATAAAATCATCACAAAACCCAAAAACAATAATTAGATTAATTTAGATTAGGATTTAAAAACAAAAGTTTTTTTTTTTCGACACCCACAGCCCGGACACCACAGCAGGGCTGCTGCCGCGCGCTTGCTGGTGGTGCCGCTGCTGCCGCCGGCGCCTGCTGGTGGCTGCAGCGGTGGTCAGCGGCGTGTGGTGGTGGCCGACGTGTGTGGTGGTGTGTGGGTGGTGATTGAAACAAAAATAAAATAAAGGGGAAGGGGAAAAATTAAGAGGAAAAGAAAATAAGAGAGGAGAGAGAGAGAGAGTTTACCTTTGGGTGCACTCCACCGTGGGCATATGATGGGTGTTTTGAGTATTTTTACCCAGTACACGTGGTCCAATGGGAAGGTGACACATGTCACTTCAGGAGAGGTTCCTAGAGAACCAATCCCCTACTAACACGTGGCATCCCCAATGATTAGAAAAAATGGCGGCTTTCTGGCCCAATTTCCAAGGAAGCCCACCATTCCTAGGTTTCCGTAACCTAGGATGGCGGCACGCATTTTGAGACCCTATGAATAGGGGGATGTTCCCATCATGGGACAGATTCAGAAATATTAAAAAAAAACAGAGCAATCATTAATTGCAGATATTCTCTCGGAATCCGAGAAGATACTTTACTTTTTGCACTTTTTACAGACTCCATACACGTTCTAACTTGATCGTTAGAGGCGGAACTCCACCCACCCGGAGTCTCCGTTGTTTTGCAGGTACAGGCACGTGGATTCAGTCTTGGAATTGTAACTCTCCCGCAAGACATAAAAAAACCCCGAAACATTTGGTGCCATCTGTGGAGAGAGTACTTCTAAGATGGCTTCACATGAGTCTGTATTGGCTGCTAATAAGAAACGACCTTTGGCCGGAGTAGAGGTCTATACAGACCAGTACAGTAGTGAAAACCTCAATGTCGACACTTATGTGGCCCCAGACGGGTCACTTAGAGCAAGACGCACCCGTTCCAAGGAAACAGGGCGAGGACAAAGCTAGTCCAAGCAACCCAACCGTCAAGCCGGCTGGACAACCCTAGGCGGTGGAAGGTGCTGCCCCCGTTACAAGAGATGAACTCATGAAATTCATGACAAGTTTCAAAGGGGAAATCAAGGACCTAATAAACAATAAGACGACTGGCACCAACAGGGGTCAGTCGGCCAATAAGCCTTCTCCCTCAGGGAAGAAGCATGTGAAGGATCGTGTGCCTACCCCTCACCCTAAGCCAAAGGGGACGGGTGGGCCCATGATTGATTTATCCAAACTCCGGTTTCCCTGAAACAGGGAAAAGGAAGGTTATCCGACAAATTCAGTCGGATGGATCAAAGAAGACTTATTCGGATTCCCGGATTCTAATCTAGCAAAAGAAAAGTCAACAACTATCTGAGTCGGCCTCAACATCGACTTAACCAGACAGCTTTCAGAATACTTCAATGAGGCATTCACAATTAAATCGAGAGGGTCAGTCAGGCGGCCTGCCCGTCCACTCTGGCCCTCAGATAATCCACTCGGCTCAGTATGTGCCTCATCAGCCATACATGCCGTATGGGCAACAATATATTCAGCCGACACTTTTTGGGGGTTAAACGGCATAGAATGTCCAACCTTTGGACTGGCAGCTTCGTCTGCTCAAACTTGGGGAACAACCTTCTGCGTTCTCCAAGGAAATAACTGAGGCGGCCCAGCCGGCCAAGGTTAAAAATGTGTTGGTGGGTACTTATGATGGTACCACCAACCATGAAGACCACCTGATGGCCTACACTAACCTCATGTACCTACAGGGGTTGGACGATGCCACTTGGTGCAGGTGCTTCCCGGCTACATTGAAGGACATTGCCCAATGATGGATTGGGAACCTACCAGCCGGGTGCATAAACAATTTCAAGACACGGGCGTACTTGTTTTCTTCCAACTTCTCTATGAACATCCCTGTAAAGAAGACAAGTCTAGACTTGGGTGCTATACGGCAGGGGGATAGAGAAGGGCTAAGGTCCTATGTCAGGCAGTTCAATCTGATGAGAATTCAGATTCAAGGGCTGTCTGACAAAGTGGCTTACACAGACTTCTTAAAAGGTCTGAAAGACGAGTCGACCTTTACGTTCGACCTTGTCAGAAAGAGGGTTGCCACCCTCCAAGAGGCTCTGATGGAGGCGGAAGCCTATATATAGGCGACTGAGCTTTGTGCGATCAAGCAGCCGTCGGACCCTAAAAAGTCCGACAAAAAAGAGAGTCGGTCTGCTCAGCCGGCTAAAAAAGAAGAGAGCAGGAAAAGAAAAGAAGTCTAGGTGGCGGACAATTCCGGTCAGCCATCCCAGAAGAAGAAGAAATAGTTGAAACCGTACGTCCCTAAGTACGAGTTTAACAAGGACTGTTACTCTATCCTCATGGAGATCAAAGACCAAGTGATAATTGAGAAATCGGCTACAATGAAGAGCTCCGTCAAAAGTCGGGACAAAGACAAATACTGTTACTTCCATGAGGATATAGGCCATGACACCAATGACTGCTATAGCCTCAAGCGGTCGTTGGACTGTCTGGCTGACAAAGAAGTATTGAAGTCCTACATTCTAAAGTCCAAGGTGACCCTAAAAACTAACGGTGGACAGCGTCCAAAAACGCAGACCAACTTGCTATTAGTTCGGACACTAACGAAGAACAAATCTATAATATAGCAGGCGGTTTTGCTGGAGGGGGTCTAACCATCCGGGGCACCAAAGGCTACATCAGGTGGCTGGATGTCAATTTAGTTGAGGAGGACCAGGCGTCAAAAGACACCTTTCCTGAGGTCATTATCACTGAGAAGGA